GCCCTCCTGGGAATTGGCTCGGAAGCTATGGCCGATACTAGGGAAATGGAATATTCGTACAAGCCTAAACGAAAGGAGAATCTTTTTCACCAGCTTGCCCACAAGAAATAAGTTAACAAAATGGAGCACTCCTGAGAATACAGCATAAATTGCAAAGTATGTAAATAATAATACGATGGAAGAGGTGGCATGGATTGCATGAACCTGAACGTCGTACAAAAGCCAAACGGCTGCAATACAACGGGATGCAGCCGTCCTTTTGTGGTAAGATCGACCAACGAATCTCTTCTTCATGCACTTTCATACGAAATGAAAGTCCCCCCAAGAAAGATGGGAGATAGCTGAATAAATTTCCCCTAGTGGCCACACAATTGACTAGAGTTCAACATAAAGACTGGTCCCATATTAAGAAAACCTCAGAAAATTGAAAATCAGTTAAGCTGTGGACATCCTCTTTCAAAGAAACCTAATGAAGAGGAAATTGGAAGAAAGAAGAGTCAGCGATACTTTGGCGTACTGCCTAAACAGACTTGGAGATTTAGCCGACATCAAAAAGAAGACGCTTGGAACCAGGACAAAAGTTCAATAGCAGGAGACATCGCCAAGGAGCAGCTCATGAAGGACAAATGGAAGTCAGGAAACGGCGATTGCAATGAAGGAACTCAAACCTAGGATCACCCTGAAAATTTGGCGATGTGGGTTTATCTGTGAAGTGTTGGGTAGGAGATTGTAAGCCAGGAGCAGGCATATTATGCTCCACTAGAGGTGTTAGGCTAAAGGTATAGGAGTGTCAGAGATTTATCGCTAGAGTGCGTATGTGTTCGCATGTGGACATTTTTAGATGTGTGCCTTGATGAGAGGTAACCGATGGCAACTGACTAGTACCATAGAATCACATGAGTGTGCTTTGTGCGATTGGAAAAGGGAAGATGTAGATTTTCACACCGGCGTTTCCTAGTTAAGCCAGACACAGGACCCTAAAGAATGAGATGCAATGCGAGTGGGGATAAGAAAGAGAATAATAAGGTGATGGATCTGAAGCCTACGGAGAGTAAGATGCCTAGACATTAGCATCATTGGATCTAAATCCTCGAATATTGCGTTAACGAGGACCGGAATTGAAGGGCAATATACAGCTAGATCTGAGACAGTCAGACAGTGATTTTGATGTATCAGCGACTAATTGACAAGCAAGGTGAAAGGGGGCCTGAATTAAATTCAGAAGCGCTGCAACAGCATCTGGCACCGGTGATGAAGGCGATAATGCATCACTAAATTCACTTGTAACGACACTATTGTGCGAAATTGGAGGAAACGAGAGTATGGGAGTGGGGTTGGGAGAAATAGATACAGTACGTGAAATTTTAACAAAGAATAGAAGCGAGTGATGCCAGAACGGATGAAGATAAATTAGTCATGGGGATTGCCCTCACTGTAACTGTGCTAACGATGGCACCGCTCACTGACAATGTCAACTAGATGTCGTCGAAACGAAATGTACCAAATCAATGGTCCGATGCTGGAAATCACGAATACTATGGCAGAGCATGCATTACTAGGTACCTTCGATAAGTTCTCTCAGATGCTTCGACCAAATTACGAAAACTAGATTTAATCAACAGCATACAATTACTTATTTAGAGCTATGATTTTTAGTTGGCCAACTAGTTTTATAAAGATAAATTTTTAACCACTGATCCAGAAATGTATTTATACCAACGTCTATCTATTGGAAGTCAGTACGAGGGTTTCTCTGATGTAATCACCCTGACTGCCCGGATATAAACTACAACTGATAATGCAGAAGCTTGGCCTTGCCGATCTTATAAGCAAAATTCGAATACCTTGAGTGAACAATTAATGCGAATATATGTTATAATGAGGGTTAAGCAAAAACTACAGTTAAAAATTCAAATAAAACTGAGTTGCAAAAAGTATAAACAGCATTAGGATAAATGAAAAAAAATTATTGTAAATAAAAAGCATATAACGTACGTCTAGACGAATGCGCTTGGTAACAGCTATTTGCGATTCAGCATTCTCAGATGATGATTGACAGAGTGAAGATAATAGCTGGGCTTTAGTCTCGGTAGGAACAAGAGGAGTGGAGGAGGCAGCTGTATTTTCTGAAAGAACATTTAAGGTAGTGGATTGTGACGGCGTCGTAGCGTGAGTCCTAGAAGTTGCTGACACTCCATTTGTGCCTGCAACAAGGGATGACTTGATAATTAAATCAGAAACTATGTTCCTTAGAACGAGGTAAGCCAGGGCTTCGCGCTCCATCGAATCCGAGTACGCGTTTATGCGTCCAGGAGGGCAGGCAACAGAGGCAGTATGGGTTCCATCGAAAGGGGAATACTCGAAAGCACGTAGGTTAGATGAGTGAAGGGGCACCTAGGAACATAAGAGACAAGTTATAGTGATGGAAGCAAGTTAAAAACAAGATAAAATAATTCCATCTTAACTAGATGCAGATATTCGAAAATACAAGTAGGTCAGATAAAATAACACTAAATCATGAGACAAGAAGTTTGTCTACATTAGATTTATACATCCTTAATAAAGGACCAGTAGTTGAATTTTACCACAATGACATGACGTTTCTATTGATTTCCCCGTAGTCATGCCTTCCCAAAAGGTGTTCTCATCCAGAGTGGACTGACGTTTCGATCTCATCTAGATTTTACAAATACCTGCAGCGCTAGTCGAACCATGACACTACAGCGTTTAATCTCGACACGTTGGCCACTCTTTGGGGTGTTTATAAGACTTAGGTGAGGTCGAAACTGCGGTCCACTTTAGAAAAGAACATCTATTGGGAAAGCAACGCTATGTGAAAGTAAATGGAAAAGTCAGCTCTATTAATATCAATATGAGAAAATATAACTACCAGTTCTTCATCAACTTAAGCGAAATAGA